CTGATTTTATAGCTTAGCGAAGTATCAAGTGAGAGGGAGAACGGTAGCTATTCATATCCTGTTCAAGTATCGCAGTTGGCGTTACTCTCGTTTGTGTATTAATTATTATTCAGTCTGTCACTTCAGAAATGGAGAAACCTAATGACTGTTTCAGTAGCTGTTAGGGTGACCGTTAGAGTCATTCTGACTCACACATTCTGAATTTTGTGCCTTACTGTGACAACCGTGTCCTTCCAGTTTCTGAACAAATGAATCAATCCTATCTCGTTTAATTCACTTATAATAACCACATCACGCTAATTCAGACCAGAGAATAAGGAATTCGTGTTCTATTCTCACCCAACCTTTATTAAGTACCCATATACTTTATTGATCAATAGTTATACTTTTAACCAAAATAATTTTTAAGTTTAGAAACATAGAAACAATTATTTCTACTCTCAATAATTTAAAGATCCCCAAAGATTATTCTGAACAAAAATAATTTGAGCGAACAATTGTTTTCATTAACTTTTTCTTCAGGCTCTACAGTTATAAATCGATGAGAATGAGTGAAATACAATAGCCGAAATAAGGCATGATGTACAATTTTTACTATATTGAAACAGTGTTATGGGTGAATGGAGATCAAATAGAATGGAATGGTGGAACTCTTACCAGTCTAGTGTGTTAGTTGTGCAATGAAACCAATATTGACAGAACAATTACTAAATGAGGCGACAAAAGCTACAGATAAAGTTTCATGTATATGCATTTATCTGTGGGCATGAATGTGTATGTGTTTGTCTACTAGAGGTCAAATAATAGTTGTGTAGTGATGAGTTATATTCAGGTGGGATGAAAATCATGTGAATACTATAACGAAATACAGAATATTTCAAGTTGTTATTCATCGAAGACTGACATCAGTTGGATGATCAGTTGGACATCAGTCTTCGATGAATAACAACTTGAAATAATTCCAAATCTCCACAACCCCTCGAAATACAGAATAACCAACGTGAAGTATTACATCACGGATGAAAATGACTAAAGGTTGTGACATGAATAAAGAAGGGCGTAAAACTAATAACATAAGAAAATGACAATACAGAAGAAAGGGATAGGAGGATAAAATGTGCAATTTGTGGTAGGAAAGTTCATAAAAAACGTGTCCACCTTGTTGTGGGCCAAGATAAAGAAAGTGGGTGCGCATATTTCTTTTGAACACAGGTCCGTTTTCTTTGCTATGATCCCTATGGCTTCGGCTGTGGATAAGATGCGAAGTCGTGCGCCTTTAGGGACACGGTATATCACAGAAAAGGCATGATCTAACCTTAATCTGATGTCTGGTATCTACTAGATGTGGGAGGTTTGGACTGTTGATGCTGTTTGTCAATCCTTTCCCTAACCAAGATAGCACGTGTTTATGAACGCTTATGGATAGAAACCTTTGAGTAAGGCCTATGTAACTAGCTCTACAGCAGCAGTTGAACTCATAAATGCACACTGAAGTGGACGTTATAGGTAACCTATCCTTGGTTTGGATTTCGCCAAAAATGATGAATTTTTATCGAATCTCTTGTCGCACCAACTCGAAGATCTGCAGGCAAAAGCCAACAAGTTGACAGAAGAGGCAGTGAAGATGGGACTTCCTTCAAGTGAACGTAGAAAAGACAAAGGTGATGAAGATGCACACTCAACCAACAACAACAGGCACCAACCACCATCAACGGCAGAAGTCTAAAGGAAGTTGTCTCTTTCACCTCGTTTCAACTACAGGTGGCGACACACATGAGGACGTCAAAGCTGGGATCGGAAAAGCAAGACAGGCCTTCATTAATCCGAAATCAGTGTGGAGATCTACTGCACTGCACTCAGCATAAAGCGTGAACAAGATCCGGATTTTCAACACTAAGTCAGTCAAGTAAGTCAGTGCTTCTATGTGATGGTTGAGAGACTTGGCGCATCACGAAAAACGTTTCCAACAAACTACAGACATTCATCAACAACTGCCTACGCTCGATACTGCAGATCAGATCGCATGGCCAGAACAATAAGAATAAGCAACAAGGAACTTTGGCTGGCTGGCAACGAACCAACCAACAACCTATCACCCAACAAATATGCAGAAGAAAGTGGAGATGGATTAGATTGGATATACACTGAGAAGGCCGATTGGAGACATCACGCACCAGGGCGTCGAGTGGAATCTAAGGGGAAAAAGATGAGTTGGGTGTCCGAGGTGAGGGTGAAACAGCGGAGATCGTGTGAGGAAGAAATGAAAGCTTGTCGGCAGCCGCGGTGGCGGGTTGAAAAGACCGCAGAGAAGAGAGTGTAATGGTGATGTGCTACTGAAGCCCTATGTCCCACTAGAAACCCAAATGACAAATAATTAAATAATAATAACTCGTTATTGCTAGTATCGTTAGGGTTGACCTTCGGAATCACTCAAATTATAGTTGATCCCAGTGAATCCAGCTTTCTAATTCTAGTAGTCACTGTATTTGAGGAACTCTCCAGGGGCGTGTGTTTTCGTACCTTGCGAGGTAGAGCGATATATTCGGTTAGGAATACTGGTTTCGTTAGCTCTAGCTTTGTTTGTACCTTTGTAGTCTGGAAGATGTCTCCAATGTGAATCTGTTGGTATTATGGGGTCATGGGTCATTCCTCCTAGAGTAATATCGTTTCGAGAAGGTAACGTCCACTTAGATCTGCAAGGTCGGAGAGACTTCAGTGAGATGCGTCCCACGCATGTCTGCCCATGGGGAGATCATTAGTGGGAACGATAAACATAGGTAGAACACATGCAGAATATGTGATGGACACAGGCTGGGATTTGAGTCGAGGACGCACACTTCGTCCTATTCGAGACTTGTCTCCCAGTGAGTGATGCTTTCACCAGGTTCTATTTCTTCAAAAGCGAGTGTGTAACTGTGCATTTACTTTAAAGTTTAGCATTCCTTTTTCGGAGCACACGCTGTTTCCTTATCTCGTATAATTTCTCTGTTGATTCATCTCATCTCGACTACTGAAACTTATGATCTCCATGTTTTACTCAAAATCTGTAATTCTTACCTGACTGGTGTTTTGATCGAATTGCAAATGTTTATATGTGTCGAGCGAAAGATGAATTTTCTGATAATCCTATTTCTTCTGATAATTTAAGCATGTAGTCAACGATCAGTTCCTATTTTTCCAGGAAGATCATCTACAGCATATTCTGTCTTTACAGAATTACTTTCCAGTTCATCTTTTTTTGTCTCGGTTAATGAAATATACCCATTGTATCACTGAGAAGAGGAAAATTTAAGCAAATGCCTATTTTGCTAAAGTGTTATGAGACTGAACCTTTAAATGTAATATTTTATTATAGAAATGTACTCTCATCGAGTGATGACATAAGTTTCAAGAATGACAGTTAGATGGACAATGAATGTTGGTTATGCGGCTAGAGTATGTCGCATTCCAAGGGCTTCAAAAAGATGGCTCAGATTAGCAATATTGAACATTGTCAGTGGTTTTATGGTTATCCTGAAGGTGACGGTTGGTCACTACTGGATAACATCGATATGTGCCGACTGATAGGCGCTATCTTGAGGCAGTGGTTGGACTTGCATATGAAAATGACCCAGATAGCTAGACTAGCTTGAAAGTTTGTTGTTTGAGATCCTATAGTGCCAGACAGGTTTTTCGTATAGTAGTAAGAGAAAAATCACTTGTGGTCCTAATGCTAATATCTGTGTTTTGATATAGATGCTAGGACATATTCATCCTTTTGGTTGGATGGAGTGTAGCAGCATAAAGGTGTCTCTCAGTGATGGCCATCAGTAACACGCTGACACTGTCTTTTCTGTGATAAGTAGGGGTTAGGAAGATTACGTCGAAAAAAGCATATTCCGCTCTTCCCTCTTGTATGTCAGTACGGTTAGCGGCTTTTCCTCTCCAGTGCTATTACAATCAGATCTCTATCCGCCAACCAAAGGAAGGTCTTGTGTGATAGGCCTTAAGTATGTGTCCTTATAGGCCTTGTAGTCACACAAAACTATTCACTTTTCTCGCTCAGATACCTCACAAAAGCAGCTCACAGGGTATGGGCGTACGCGTAGTTTCGATTGCCCGCCCATTTCCAGCAGTATATAAAAATCAAATAACTATAACTTACCCTCCCAACATTTTGCTACTCCTTAGTCTTCCACTTCTGATACCAGTATTAAGCCTCTTGCAATGAAGCATGCCATAGTAAACTAATGCATTTATGCGCAAGGTTCTAAGATGTTTTCATCTTTCTTTCAGCATAAATATATGGTTGCACATGACAGTTAGTGTTTGAGAAGAGGGTTAGTACAATAGCAAAAAGTGGTAAATGGAACTCTTTGAGCAATCTGTTCTCACACCTGATATGGAATGAAAGGTACAAGAAACTCAGAGATCAGTATAACTTTTGAGTTCTTGATTAAAACACACTCAATTGCATCTTGCATTTGAAAAATGCTTGTTTCAGTTTTTGCTTAAAGTTTCATAAGACATCTCAGATGAATGGACCTAGTAAATATAACTTAAATTTCGTCAGAAATATGTTTTTGGGAATTACGTATTTTGACAGGGATATTATCGAAATGTAGTACAGTTTGCTTTCTTTTATTATCTTCGTAAACGTAAACAGGAAGTGGAATTTACTGTTGCTTCGCTGTCTGAAGTAGACCGGAATTATTCGGATATTAGTCACTTTTCACGAGAAGGAGCTACCAAAATTTGTTTGTTGTCATCGAAGATTTTAGTAGACATTTGTCACTTACTCTTTACTGACCTGTGTTAATTTGTAAAATTTTGTTTAACAAAAGTAGATTATAAGACATAATGATGAAGTGTTCGAAATTTGATTTTTTAAGTTTCGATTGCAGAAAGCTAATAGGTTGAACTAAATCTAAGTGGTTGACCTAAAAAAATGAAGCCTTAATTCATGAATTATTTATTCGTGATATACTGACCAGAATGTTTACTAATTTTTCTTACCACAGTTAAACTCAGAAGCAATGGACCAAGGCACAAATCAAGGTGTACTGAACGATCTGATGGATGGTGTTCCAAACTATATGCAACCTGATCCAATGAAAGTTAAGAGTAGTTCACCGACTAGACAGAACAAAAACGATCAGATAGATTCTGTAAGTATTAAAAAAATATTTTCACGCTCAAATGATCAACTACCAAATCATTCAGATGGCGTAGGTTTTAATATTCCAGAATAATTTATAATAAATAATAATTGAGTCACTTGGTTTTAGTTCTCTTCAAAAATTTAGTTCTTTCTGAGTACCAATTAACTTCCTTGACGAAATACTTCTTAGATCTGTTGGTGATGAGGTTGTTAGTTACCTAACTATGAATTTCTTCGTAGTCTTAAGGGGTTAAGTGATTCAATGGTCATTCAAATGCATCTGATGCTTCCTGAAAAAGGTTATTTTGATTTTGTTCTCCTACGACGGTCGATTTAAGTATCCCAGTCGATTATCATGTTACAGTGTCTTTCAAGAATGTGAAAACTAAAGAAAAGAATTCCTCTGACTCTAATTTTGTTTTTTATTAGATACCTATATATATAAAGTAATGGCTATTCTTATGCAAATGTGCTTTGAACTGAGTTTATTCATGAAGGATTTCATACTAACATCCTAGTTACCATCTCCAGTTCAGCTACAAGGGTGATATACTTGTGGTATGCTTTTGTTGAAAAAAATCAGTCTACACTGAATGTTTAAAGAAGCCTAATAAACAAGTCATATTCGCAAAGTTAGAATTAACAGACGAGAAGAATACCACTAACCGAAGTTTGATTACCCAAGTTCACCATATTTTCTGTAAGAAATTGTAATGTTTGTACAACACTATATGGTCTGTTTAACAACGCTGACAATATCATGATAAGTCAGTGTGTTACTTGTCTGGATAGATAGTATATACTGTTCAAGGTTCAGTTTTCAATGAAAATTATACTGCGGTATAGTCGACCTACTATCCCCCATGATATTCCTGATTGTGGTCGACTGGATCATGCAGCAAACAGTGGGGAGCGAGAAGAGGGGGATACACTGGCTGGACTGCGGAAAAGAACCTAGAAGACTTGGATTTCGCCAGTGATGACTTGTGCCTGATGTCACATAAACTTGAAGATCTACAGGCGAAAACTAACAGGTTGATAGAAGAGGCAGCGAAGACGGGACTTCAAGGAAATATAGAGAAGACAGAGGTGATGAAGATACCGCACCAACAACTCCAACAACAACACACTCCAATCACCATCAACGGGAGAAACTCAAAGGAAGTAACCTCCTTCACTTATCTAGGAAGCACTGTTTCAACTACAGGCGCCACAGGCACAGACGAGGATGTCAAAGCCAGTCAGAATCGGAAAAGCAAGACAGGCGTTCATTAACCTGAAACCAGTGTGGAGATCCTCTGCACTCAGCATAAGGGACAAGATCCGGATTTCCAACACCAACAACAAGTCAAGTCAGTGCTTCTGTTTGGTGGTTGAGAGACTTGGCGCGTCACGAAAGGGATTTCCAATAAACTACAGACATTCATCAACAACTGCTTACGCTCGCTACTGAAGATCAGATGGATTGCCAGAATAGTAAGAATAAGCAACAAGGAACTCTGGGAACGAACCAACCAAGAACCTATCACGCAACAAATATGCAGGAGGAAGTGCAGATGGATTGGGCATGCACTGAGAAGGCCGACTGTGGACATCACGCGTCAGGCCAGGCCCTCAAGTGGAACCTCGATGGACGAGTTGGGCGTCCTAGGCGAGGGTGACATGGAGGAGATCGTGCGTGGAGATGAGAGCTTGTGGGCTGTAGTGGAACCAGGTTCAAAAGATCTCAGAGAACAGAGGTCACTGGAGACGTGCTACTGAAGCCCTATGTTCCACTAGGAACCCAAGGGATTAATAATAATAATAGTCGATCTATCTCATGCTTTAGAAATTGATTTATTTCTGACAAGAATTCTGTGTTTCTAAGACCTGTTTACTCAAATTATGATGTTCCGACTTTGTAACAGCTTTACTTCTAGAAATCCGCTTCCAGTTGCATGGAAGCGATAAGCAGGAAGCCCTGGGCCTAGGTTTCGTGCTTCCTGGGACTTGTCAGCAAGGTGTATCTTCAACCTCAGTTGAACTGATATCCCATCTGAGATCCGAAATCATATCACCCAGTTCTATAGTCAGAATTCACCACTCAGCTATTTTGGCAGCAACTGACTTCTTTTAATGCGACTCAGCAACAGCAGTATGACATGGTGATGTGGGTTTGAATCACAGGCAAGACATCTATTCCGTTGATGTTGCAGGCGCACCTTGCTGACCAGTACTAAAAAGCATAAAATCTAGGTTCAGGTCCTCCTACAGATTGCCTTCATCCAACTAACATCTATCAAAAGTTCATATCCACGGTGTGTCTCCTAGCTTGGGAGCCGCACTATAAAGTGGTAGATGGAATTCGATTAGCATTTAGGATTAGGCAATATGAAGCTGGTTACCCTGGAGTGACCTGTCACTGTAGAAATTTGTTGCCTTAGTTACGTTTCCCTAGATGACTCTTAGCAGAAATATAACATGTATTTTTCTCTGGATATATGACGTGCTAATCGCCTAAATAAGCTTATATATGTTTCCTTTCAGCACGCTTTTAATTGAATTAATTTAGTTGTTTGGTCATCTGTGTAAATGCACAGAAGCTGAGACATTTGTTAATTCATTTTGGCCATGGTGTACTCATCGTAATGATAGATGTTACTGAATCTAATTGATAATGAATACTAGAAAAGCTAAAAGCAAGGGAAGTGTATCCATGTTGAAACGTTTTGAGACACGGAGTAGTGTGTTTGTCCCTTTGCTCTTCAGACCTTAGTTGCTCTCTTTTGAAATATTTGACAATGAATGGTTTAGTATTTCAGTCAGTGGTTGGAATTATTTGTTAACAAATGGTCAGCGGTTGTTAAGACTCATTAGGGAATTATTTACTCGCCATCACAGAACTTACACTATTCTCTGATAAAGGCTTAGCACTAACCACTTAAATACTAGATGAGAAAAGCAGTTTGTGTGTTACATGGCAGGTTGTTTTCGGTATTTCTGCCAGTTAACCCTGACGATGAGATAAGAAAGGCAGAAACTTTAGGCGCTATGTTTTATGTCAAGTATCTATTACCAACCACCACTGAACATCGGGATTTAGTTTAGTGATCGGAATTTAAGGATTTACCAATGAGTTTCAGTTGTTACTAATTGATGTCATATGCAATGAGGTACGGCTAGGGCAAGTGTTATGTTTTTCTGCAGCGATTTGGTCATAACCTAGTGTTTGGAGAAGTGAAATATTTTCTTCATGTATTTTGGATAGACGATGTATGCGCTGGGTAGTGGAATACAATAGGGAAATTTCTTCATGGAGTTCCATGCTAATGAATAATTCCTCTCTCATTTTCCTGAATATCTCCAACAAGTGAAGCTCGATCTTGATTGGTTACTGGAGGGGAAAAAACCTCAGGTTGTCTAGTCTTAAGCGCTAATCCAATTATATCTATCATTTTACAGTATGGTTATCAGGCTAGGAGGCTCACTATCGCTATGCGCTATTGACAGATGTTAGTTGGATGGAGGCAGTCGGTTCAAGGCTCTGAACCTAGGTTTCGTGCATTTTGTTACGTGACAGCAACGTATATCTGCAACCTCTACGGAACCAATGTCCTGCCTTAGATCCGAACCAGTATCTCCCAGAGTAGATTATATGAAGTTGGTTACTCTTCAGTAACCAGTCGATGTATCTAACCCAGTATACAGGAGGTCGGTCAAGATTCGAATGGCTGAGTGGTAATGTGTCTGACTGTAATACTTAGTGACGCGGTCCCGGATCTCAAGCGGTACACCAGCCCGTGGAGGTTAAAGATCTGCCTTCCCAAAGAGTGCTAAAAGGCACGAAACTGAGGTCTGAGGCTTTATGAAGCCTTATCTGTTCAGTCGGGTCTGCCTGTGTTTTCCGTCTTAATGATTTCTCTTCATCGGATAGAACAAATGAAAATTTATAGACATAGATCTGCTTAGTAACATTATTCTAGAGCCTCTATCCGGGCGTGTCATGAACAATTTTTCTTTTTCCCAGTTTATTCACTTGATTTTGACGTTCTTTTGACAAACCATATGAACATATCGGTTTTCTACCTACATAGTCAAGCCTTGGTTTAAAACTATTGATTTGAAATGGTTTGAACTATAATATGAAACTGGAACTAGATCTCTCCTTCAACTAATTGAATTTCTGAAATAATCTCATCAACGTTTGAAGTCACATCGCAGAATTTGGGTCCAAGTGATAAGATCTACATTTAAATTGAGGATAGTTACATATATGAAAAGTTGAACCCATTTTTCAGGAAGTTAAGCTTTTATTTAGCTCCAAATTGACATCAGTTCGCTTCATAGTGAAAGTAGCAGCGTAGTAATCAAACTCTGCTCTTTCATTGACAGACAGTTTGCAAAACATATGGGATTTCTGTGACAGATTCTGTTCAAATTCTGGTAATCGGGAATGAACAACGTCAACATGATAAACTCTCCATAACATTTAATTAGAATAATCGCGAAAATCAGTTTAGTTTGTCTTTCCTTTCTATGTTTTTTGTTGTTAGGATGCAAATCAGCCATATAGTTTTCAGGATTTTAATGAAAATGACGACCGTCTGTTGGATGAACGATCGACAATGGATACACGTAGTAAACATTGGCCACATTACCTTAGCTCAGATTATTTAGGTCCAAGTGAACAAACAATTGAGCCTACTAATTGGGATTGGCTACGATTAAATGCACTTGGACCAGGTTGGGAAGAAGTGCTTAAAGAGGTTCCGGTTACTCGAAGAGAAGCATTGAATTTACTTGGTAAATTGTACTAACTTGTTTTTATACTCTCTCTCTCTCTCCCTCTCTCTCTCTCTCTCTCTCTCTCTAATATATATATATATATATATATATATATATATATATATATATATATTCATATCTCGGTTACGCGTAATTTACCAAAAAATACTTCATCAGCAGTATAACAATTAAAATGGTAGACGAAAGAGTCAAAGAAGTCGTCCCTGGCAATCATTACAGTTCTCCTTCAGTTCATTATTTTTGTTGCTGTTCTCTTTATAGTATCCTTGAGGAGATTTTGGAGTACCTTGACCTACCTCATCATTTGAGGTTTTAGTACTAGTGGTGAAGTTAACGTTTTCCTAAACAGAACTCTTGACATAACTCATGTGACTACAATCAAAATAGTTAGGGCACCATCTGTCAGGACTGGTGAAGTCATAATAATTCTTCAATAACCATTTATGAGTCTTATTCAAGGTTAAACTAGCTGCCTTTGTAGGATTCATCCTTTCTGAACAAGGTTCGATCGTGGTCTTCAAAGTCCATAACGCCATTTGAACAAACGTAAGACGGGCTTTTAAGCTGACACATCACAAAAGCTATCATAGTTCCATTGGACTCCATTTTGATAACGAGAGGGATCTTTTGAGGATTGTAGATGAGCTATTCGCTGTACTGGATATTGTGGCGATGGTCATAGCACTTAGCACCGAATAACTTGATTATGTTAGTTTGGTAGGATGTCTTACTTTGTTCGAGTTGCACTACCGTCGTCAAGTGACTTTTTGTAATTCCTGGTGTGGTAGGTTGATCTTTACACCTATTTGTCAGTGATAGCAAAGACCCTTAAATAACATTCATGATGCGTGCGGCAAAACTCTTTTCCCACGCTGACGTTCTTAGTCCTCTTCCAAGATCGGCCATCATTTCCCCATGCAGTCACAGTATCAGATGTGGTGTTTGATTACTGTCCAAACGTTCTCTGCATAAGCCTCTGCAGGTTATTGCCTTGCAGTTTCCATTTTGTGTCTTTTTGTTCTCACTATTGCAACGAGAAGCTAAGGTTATTTCGAAATTTTTATGTCCGATAAGAATCATGATAGTGGTTATCCTTTTTCAGTATTCCAGACTCTTCGAATTTTCTATTTTGGTCCACTTTGACATTTTTCACTTCAAAATGTGGTTCTCCTTCCAAAACATAGGGATACTTTATTTGAAGGCAGTAAATGATAAAATCGGAATGATATTTAATACAATTTATCCTAATATTCTCCTTGTAAATGTAATTTTACTAGTGTATTATATGGGAGGTCACATAATATTTCAGGCATTTTGAGTAGGTGTGGCACCATTCCTGTTTTATATATATATCCTTCTCAGTGGGAGCTGATTACCTTTCGTATTAGTACCTTTTGTTGCTGGATAGGATTTTTAGCTCACGATGACGATAATTACTTTTTGTTGTTGTTTTAGCTTTTGTTTTCCGTTTGAGATGTTTCAACAGCAACCAAGTTTACTTCATCCACACTTACTCCATAGAAAAGCGAAGCGTTTCCAAGTTTCATTTATTTTTACGTAGAATATTTATCTGACCTAAAAGTTATTAGATTGTAGGTAGAGATGATTTTCCTATTGCGTGTTGACCTTTTATGACTTGGTTTTTTATCACATTATACATTAAACGTAGAATATTGCAAACCTGATCCCTCAATCTATGCTATTGACCTGATTTTTAGTTACTGATTTGTTCGATCGTTTTTGCCATCTGATTGGTCTGTTTTTGGTGATCCGTATATGGGATCTGAGTTCATGAGTCTTTTGACAGGTATTTCAGTGGGGTAATATATTTTCGGGAGTTTTGTAGCAGAGTTTAACCTTTTGCCTCGAAATATTTTCATATTTTAGTATAAGTGTAAAACTTGGACACTGTGGTAGAATATAATTCCATATTAGATTTGTTTATTTGATATATAGCGCACGGTGATACAGTATTATTTACTTGATTACGTTTCAAGGATAAATTATTGCTCATAATCATATCAATATGGTATTGATATGATTAAGAGCAATAATTTATGCTTGAAACGTAATCAAGTAAATAATACTGTATCACCGTGCGCTATATATCAAATAAACAAATCTAATATAGAATTTCAAGTTGTTATTCATCGAAGACTGACATCAGTTGGAGGAAGAAAGGAAACCTGGGAGCACTGGACAGCTGTTTCGTCCTAGTATGGGACTCCGATGAATAACAACTTGAAATATTTCCAAATCTCCACAACCCCCTCAAAATTTAATATAGAATTATTTTAATATCTCCCACATCAGGGTTTTATTTGTGATTGTGTACATGCATCGATGTAATGTAACGTTATTTGATTACTAGCTGATGTTCAAAAATCATCTTGGTATTCCAACAGCTGGACTCATCAACTTAGTTATGCTTAAAGTTTCTGCAGTCACCTAGATTTTGTTTTTGTTTAATTTTTGGGTAGCTTGCGCATGGTTATCTGAAGGTACTTGGCTAGTCTATGTGTTATGCTGTTAGCTAACAGGCGAGTTAGTCAGTTGATACTTTCTGAAACGACTTTGATTTGTGATAAAATGATTCGTTTTGTGGTTCTGTTCTCTTGAAAGACAATTCTTGTTGCCCAGTGACCTATCAGTGTATCTCATTTAGTCCTACAGGAGGTCAGCGTTTGCCCATGAAACTCATTGGCAACATCACTAAATGCTACACTGGATGAGGTGAATTTGAACTCTAGAGAGGGCGTCACTGTCCTCGAGGTTACAGATGCGCCTTTCCGATGGGTGGCAATAAAGCTCAAAATCTAGGTTCACGGCTTTCTACTGACTGTTTCCAACCAACTAACATTTATCTCAGTGCACCACGATGGTGTGCTTTCTAGCTTGATGGTTATATTACAAAACGATTGATGGAATTCAGTCAGCACTTAGAACAAGATAACGCCAAATCGGTTGCTGTTTGGTGGTCAATCAATGAATTCTTGAAAAAGTTGAGTAGATGGTAGCTGACTTTGTAAAGATGCTTCTTCTCTCGACTTTAAAACTTGTTGAATCCTACAATCAGTCATGGGAAGCGTAAATATTACTTATTGAATGCAGTTCCTTTGAGATGTTGAGTTCTAATTATTGCGGCTCAAAGTTTAATCTCTATCGCTTTCCACTACACTTCACCACTTAGGTTTTCCTGATGTTTTCTACAAATTAGGACGTCAAAAAACATGACTTCGTTATATTTTGTTCTTCTTGTTCTTTTATCAATAAATACTTTGAAAATTTCAACTGATATAGCTGAATGTTTCTTTGGAGTTCAGTTGTCTTAAGAATTGGAAACGTGTTTGTGATAGCGAATTCAGATCCTTGATTTACTAAGTGGGGTGTATGTTGATTCGAATATCTGCAGCATGACGCCAGTGATTAATCTGTAAATTTCTGAATCCATAGTAATTCCTTCAGTCTGCTTGAAGACCTCATTGCCATCAAAGTACGTCATGGAACAGTGGTAGTTTTCATGTACTTTTGAAGATTCTGGTAGTTGTTGAGAACGATATTCACTGTTTCATTAGCGAGATTTACCTTGATTGACGTGAAAAATGCAGTTACACTAAATAACGTCATTTGTTGATCGTGGTGTTTCGTGAGATCTTTTATCCTGTTCAGGAATTGAGTTATGCAATTGAGTGTTGACCCCCATCTGTAAGGTGTTTTAGTTTTCTTAACTTTCTTCTGATTTTTCATAAAATTCTTACCCTTCATAGATTTAAATAGGACGAGAACAATACATCTAGATGAATAGGATGGATCCATTTTCCTTTTTTTCTGATGAACTGGATGGTGATCTTCCTGGTAGTGATAATACTAGTTTTAATGGAATATCTACTTTCTGCAATGTCAGATAGGATTATTGTCTATAAGTGTTCTTGTTACTGAGTAGTTTTTGCGGTTTTTTCACATCATTTGGTTTGTTCATGATGACAATTTCTCTTTCTTTATTCGCTTGAAGTATGACAATTTTCTTGCAGGTCGTGAGTGAGTTCAGTGCAGCCTTTTCATCTGTGCTGACTTCCTTCTTCTCCTTGTTTATTTTCGTCAACAGTATGACTAGCTGTCTTAGTTCATGTTGTTTTTTAGTGAAAATCCAAACACCATACATAAATCCAACATAAATGCTTTCTGAACATTGTAGTTTAATGATTTTTGCAGTAAATTGTATTATGAAGTAAGAGCTGATAAAGTATTCAGGAGGAATCTTCTAAGCCAAGAAAACATTGAACAGTTACCAGTTTTATCAGTGCTGTGTTATTTAAATACCTAGGATATGGGATCTATTCTCAATCTTCTTCATTGCCCTAAAAAGTTATCTAACTAAACTATACTACCAAAAAATCTTGTAAATCTCATGCTGAGACTAAAAGCTATTTTAAGCAAAACAGTATCATTCAACTATAAATTATTGACATATTTTCAGAAAGAAAAGAACAAGTTTGGATTATTGGCTACCTTGTTTTGTGATGATGATGATAACTTATTGCTAGATTAATTCTACTATAAGTTATGTTGGGTAAGAATTGACCTGATAATGTCATTGTCATAGTGTTATATTTCAAAAACAAGGTTAACCATTATCTTTAAATTGGTATATTTAAGACGACTAGTAAATTTTAGAGTAGTCTTCAATGCAAGTTATCTTCTGTAGTATAGTTAGTTACTAATCGATTAGCCGCGCCTATAAATGATCCAGTTGAAGATGTGGAACACAAGAACTCCTAGAAGTAAACAGTGCACCTGATTTATTCAGAAGGGTTAATGTGACGGACATTTTTAGTACGGCCTGCAAATAAAACACGATCTAAACTAATGAATGCATTGGTTATAGTGTGACAGTGAAAGGTGAATTTCTATTTTCTGGTTGCTGGTTCTAGAAGTAAGTTCATTTGGTCTTCTCCCCATATCTCTTGATGTCTTTTTCTCCAGCTTTATGATGTGTAGAGTAAAATGGAGTATACAACTACCGATATCAACGATTATATACAATAATCCACTTCATTCGTCAATATGTATTGATAGTAATTTAGGAACTGGACCAGTTGTTTGTATTTCAAAGTGTGATTCTTTTAGAAATATTAACAACAGAAAAAGTTAAATCCTGGAGTTTCATGTGATAATCTTAAACTGCGTAGCATTCTTTTAGTTGGCGGTTTCAAATTGAGAAACAGGGCAAGTTATTTGTGAAAAAATGAGGAGAAACAGGAATCAGTAAGAAAGGAGTTCGTAACAAATGAGTTTGAAATCTAGGTTAGTTACTGTATCATAACATTCGTAGAGTTTGCGAAAAAAACTCATCCATAGTAAGATTCTTAATAGGATGTGCGACGAAAATATTCTCTTGAGTAGTGTTTTATTGACGTCAAAACAGTTTCAAAGCAAATTAACATGAAAGTTTTTTCTTGTCATTTGTATGCAACACTATTAACGCACAAATGACTGACGAACTTGAGAGTTACCATAACTTCTTATTTCTTAATCAATAAAAGCCGTCAACCACACGACATTTTGAAACGTATAAGTGGTATTATGGGTCAATTCATCGCTGAATGTCAGACTTTTAAGTGAGCTCGATAGTCTTTGATTTTGTGAGGTATCCTACCGCGGTTGGTTGAAGTTTCACATCCACCTACAATCTAATGAAATTGGGTAAGGTTTTTGGGCATTCCGGTTTTCTGAATCTTTAGTTTGGTTAACTGCCACTGAAATACAATAATGGAGTAATTATGCTGTAGTATAGGACGCATATATCATTTAAGAAGGTCTATAGTCTGTGTAGTAAATATTGAAGACGTTAGATGTTTTTTAAAAAGTATTTTTCAATCATGTTGTCATTATTACGATAACAGTTGTAGTTTTTTGTATCTGGGTCGGTGTTTTAAATCTTAACTCGTTCCTTGAAAAGTTTAAGCATCTCAGGTCAAAGTTTTGGAAAAATCAAGATTTTTCAAGGTTTATGGGGATTTTTACTTTCAAGGTAAGATTTATCACGGATTGGTATCAGTTGAAGAACTATTGAAAACCTAGGAACCGTGACCTGTGAGGCAGATGCGAACTGAAGAACTTGGATGACAGTCAAACTGTATCACGAAATGACAGAAGTAGGAAACTGTGGACTGTTGAACTTCGACCAGTAAATAGATGGTTAACGCGTTTGCTACCAGACCTGAATGCCCTCATTTGGATTCCTGCCGGGGTTGTGAATGTGTACTACTGAGAATTCCTGTTCTAGGACGAAGCAGCTATCCAGTGGTCTCAGGTTTTCAAGGATTCTCCAGATTATTATTGTGTGGTGAATACTACATTAAAAATCAGGATAGTATGTTCCTGAATATTTCTATTGTAAGGTAAAATGCTTTTTATCTAAACTTTAGCTTAGAGGTACTTTTGACCAAAATTGCTTTTCAATACAACTCATTAACTGATAGGGTGTTTTTGAGTCAGTGAGCTTTTTGCATGCAACAGAACCTTGTATTTTGTGTTAATTCTTTTGTTCAACGCTTCTTTTCATACTTTACTCTCCATAAAAATAATTAGTAATCATTAAGAAGAAATTACTTCGGGCAGCGAGTGAACTCACATTTTACAAGGAACGTGTGACTATCTTGCAAGAACAGTTAATTCATCAGAAAAGAAATGAAGAAAAGTTAATTCGAGTAAAGTTTCTCAATTAAAATGTACATATATATATATATGTATGTATATTATGTTTAGAACGTCTGTCTTTCGTTTACCAGGGTGTTATATATTCTTCATATATGATTTTGGTTTTGTATATGTAGGAATTTCTGAAAATAATCGTTCCACAGTTTCACCTACGGAAACCTTTTTACGACTTTTATTTCCTATAAAGAGTCAGATTAGGTCATCTTCTGGGCATCACTTGATCAGCAAAGCCATTTCAGTGACACCAATCCAAAGACTTCACCGAACCATTCAACCGGTAGCAGCGACGGGCGGTGTGTACAAAAGGTGGGGACGTAATCAGGGCAAGCTTAACACTTGCACTTACCATGAATTTCTCGTTCATGGGAAATAACTGCAAGCCTCGATCCTGGTGATGACGGCAATGAAAAAATATGCCAATCCACATAGGGTCAAGTTTCCAAAGTAGCGCACGTATGGTTCCGGACATCTAAGGGCATCACAAACCTATTACTGCTCAATTTCGTGCGACTTAAGTGTGCGGCTTGTCCACCTGAAGAGTAAAAAGTTGCACTGTATCCACTGGAACACGACAACACCACTGCATAGAGAAGCAATAAAACCCTACCCCTGAACAAACATGGAGGACCAGTCTACTACTTAGTAGGTTAAATTCTCGTTCGTTATCGAAATTAAACAGACAAATCACTCCACCAACTAAGGATACTTTGGGTTTCTTATTTTTCCTCCGAATATAATAAAGTGGAGCTATTTTTCAGGAATAGTTTAAATGAATGCTTAGTCCTTGGATGATAATCAACATTATGCAGTTGTATTATTGAACTTTGAATTCATTTTGTCAAAGGTCATATTTCCCTGATAATAGAGGTGTTTCCAGTCTATAAATTTGAACTGGTATATTGTGCAGATTACCAGCGTCTTTCTAGTATTTTAATCAACTAAGGGAGAGAATTCAAGCGTAATTTTTGAAAGCATTTCATACTGAAGAAATATTCGCCACTTAAGCACACGGGTTTCTCTTCTATTTCTGAATATAGCCCGAATCGTGTGACCCTGAATGATTGACATTCTTTCGAACAAATTGAGTAGTTAGGAACCACTAACTTGGGCTGATCTAAACATTTCTCCGATCAGATAAGAATGATCTAAACTCCAGTCAATCGTTTACTGTTCATTTGGCCGCCAGCTGATCAGTAGTGTACTCGGACAGATGATTGATATTAGTCCGCCAAAAGGTGAACATTAACTGTGGTTTTTGATGCCTCTTTCAAAATAGATTCGAAGAACAGAACGGTTTACAGTTGACTCTTAACTGAATGAATTTAGTTATCGGCAGCACATGTGGGTCATGAAGAGTATAGATAGCAATCAAGTGTACATTTAAATCGATATGCGATGGGGATCAAAAACTCAATAAGACTTTTGCTACTTATCATTTAACTTCTCAGATAACACCATAGTGTAGCTGATACCTCTGCCTAAAATAAATTGCAGGGAATGTTGGGATTCTTTGGTTAACAGATGTTATCAACGCTCATGATTATAATGTGATGGCGTTTACTCTGCGATAATTCATTTTTGTAAAGCAGTATCCACATTTGTGTTCTAGTTCATATTCTTTGTCGACAGTTACTTGTTCATTGATAAGTTACATGGAACTGTTGCTTCACAGAGACTGTCAGTTCTCCGATTGCTTTGTATATCTTCTTTAGCTTCAAGCTGAATGTAAGGCTCGATCTTTGGATGTAGAAAGACTTCGGAAACAAGCTTCAAGAGTTCCACCTTTGGAGAAAACAGTTAAACAACAAGAAGAACTTATTTGTCGACTAGAAACACTATTAGATCGACGACGAAGTAAGCAGGTGAAATTTATTTAAGACTATAATTTACTACAGTTTTGATATGATTTTATTTTCTGGTTAGTTAAATTATAACTAGGCACCATTAGTTAGATAAAAGTGATTATACCAATGACAAAATAGGAAACATCTAAAGATTTAATGACCAGCTTCTCATGACCGTGTCAGAAAACTAAATTTTTATGTTTCTTCAAAAGTGATGATTATAATTCAATAGCAAAATGATCAATCAATTCAAAGTGTTTAGACCTCAACTGATGATACCTACAGTTTAGGAATATTAGCAGGGGTAGTATAGTTTTATGTTACTTTAACGCCATATCTGTATATTGAATTCACGTTGATCGGTGGTTCTATTCAAATCTCTTGAACTAGAAGTACTTTTGTGCTGAAATTCATCCTGATTAACAATGTAGACAAGAAAATTTATTGGTGAACAATAGTTTAGAAGTATTTAGTAGTACTCCTAGCTGACTCACTTTCGTAACAGGCTCGCATTGATTAATCACTGGAGGGCAACCAATTTCACGTTGTCTAGTCCTGAGTCGTGACCGAACCCACCAGGCTAGGAGGCTCACTATCGTGGAACACTGACATAGATCCTAGTTAGGTTAAGGTAGTCAGCAGGAAGTCCTGTTTGATCTGGGCTTCATGCTTGTTATCACCCATCAGCAAGACGTATCTGTGGCTTCGAGGTTAGTGATGTCTCCTCTGAGATTTGATAGAATTGGGTCAGCACTCGGAACTAGACAGTATGAAATTTAATAACCTCTAGTGGACGATCAGTGTAACTAATCCAGTCCTGCAAGAAGTAGATTGTTACCCGTATAGCTCTGTGATAGCGACACTGACTGAAACACTGGTTGATGCGGGTTCGAACCTCAGAGGGGATATCACTTCCTTTGAGGTTGCGGAACTGCCTTGATGACAAGTGACAACAAACACAAAACTTAGGTCAAGCAGGACTTTCTATCGATTGCGTCCAACCTACTAACATCTAAGCAAGTTTGCGTTAATCCAGTAAAAAACAACTCAGTTAATTAAGATTTCCAATTGTGGAATATTTAACAGCCAGTGAAGTAGGTTTATTAGGCTGTGTAGGTAAGACAGTCTTGGGACATATGTGAGTAGTGTGCAGTAGCACCTAAGCAATAATGGAAATCGGGAAGTTCACCAAAATCAGAAGTCTCAGTTTAGTCCTATTTTGCCATACTAACCATATCTTCTGAAATTAGTAGTACTAGATCACGAAGTTTCAGAATCAAAAAACACACCATTGTGCAAGTTATGCATCATCATGTGAAAGTAATATGAATTTGATAAGTAGCGCTAGAACATGAAGTAAATTACGGTACATATATTTGTTCACAGTCACAGTTTTAGTCCTACATGCTACAAGAGTTAGGCAGACAGATAAATTAGATGTCATGTCTCCGTTTAAGAAATCAGCGACTAATACCAGCAATAAGATTGATTCAGAAACTTTTCCACGGATATGGAAAATTCTGGCATCACTGTTGCTAAGTAGTAAAAACAACTACTATAAAAGTGGAATATTCGAAAATATGTCACTTTACTGACATGTTTACGGCAATTAATTGCATCTAAAGTACTGCTTGGATGTATTACATGAATAAATGGGAAATTTTTAGACTAATTTGCATGTTAATAAATATTTTTGCTTAAAGAGAAAACAGATTTATAGTTTTAAAGCAGTTGTTCACTTTTAGATAACCATTTTTCACTATACAATGTCTAAAATACTTGATTTACTTTTCAGTGTCATAAACTGTTTTCCAGAATTTTTCTTGATGTTTAAATTTTGACGAGAACAGTTTAAAATGCACCGTTTGAAATTGTTAATTTTGATGATTTCCCTAAGCATGATACTTCTTTCTTTCATAGAACAGATAGTCAATGGAAATCTTTCTAATTATGCTGTGAATATGAATGCATTAGACAACGATTTATTAGATCATCTAAGAAATACATCAACCGGCAATCCTATCATGAATTCAGATGACTTAGTAACGTTAACAGCATTAAGAAATTTGTCAAGTGAAAATGAAAGTTTACGCCGTACTGTAACTGAATTAAATCGAACCGTTCGCAATTTGGCTAAACAACAACAGGATAGCAATGAGTATCATCAGAGGATTGAACAAAAATATCGTGAAGAAATAGATGCCTTGAAGGAGCAACAAAATCGTCTAGAAGAACAAACGTTACGTAGGGATAGAAGACTTGAACCAATAGTAAGCCATTTAAATGTAAAAATGTTAGTCCAAATGGCTTCTATTCATTTTGTGAACATAAGGTACTGTTTTCATTGTTGGTTTGAACTGAATGCATTTTCAATCATGGTTGAAAATAAGTCCACTTTAATTTGTTACTTCAAAGAATGTGAAGTAAATGGGATTATCATAAAGCCTAAAATTTAATTTTTGAACCTACTATTAGACTACTAATCAATGGTCAAAAGACGGAAACAAACCTTTACTTTGTGGTGCTATCACTACTTTGCATGACTAGAAATTTATCACACTGTATTTTTGGAATAGCTTGAAACAAGGGGTTGAAGTTTGAAAGATGACGTGTTTATGACCTATTGTATCTTTTTAAGGAGACTTGTATTCAACGATGAGGCATAGATTGTGGTCCCCATTTCTTTGTGCTACTTTCCTATCAATTCAGTTTATCTGTTGTTGATTAGCTACTTACATTTTCTAACCAGTGAAATGTCCTTTATTAGCACAATCTCAAGGATTTAATGAGATTTCAGACAAAAATTTTCACAACGTTTATTTTCCACTTTTAAAAACCACGTCATTTTTTATTTTTTATTTTATTTTTCCCTTGGGTTCCTAGTGGAACGTAGCGCTTAAGTAACACGCCTCCATTCTACTTTCTTCTCTGCAGTCTTCTCGTATAACCTGGCTCCACGACTGCCCACAAGCTTTCATTTCTTCCTCAAGTCATCTCCTCCATGTCACCCTCGCCTCCAACCCCCAAATCGTTCATTTCCCTTTGGGTTCAACTCAAGAGCTTGGCCTGACACGTGATATCCCCAGTCGGCCTTCTCAGTGTTTGCCCAATCTATCTCTGCTCTCTTCTTCTGCGTATTTGTTGGGTGATAGGTTGTTGGTTGGTTCGTTGCCAGCCAGCAAGAGTTCCTTGTTGCTTATTCTTATCATTCTGGCCATGTGATCTGATCTGCAGTATCGAGCGTAGGCAGTTGTTGATGAATGTCTGTAGTTTGTTGGAAATGTTTTTCGTGACACGCCAAGTTTTTGAACTACATAGAAGCACTGACTTGACAATCCGGATCTTGTTCCCCAAGGTGATTGCAGTAGATCTCCACACTGATTTCGGATTAATGAAGGCCTGTCTTGCTTTTCCGATCCTGGTTTTCACATCCTCGTCTGTGCCGCCTGTAGTTGAAACGACGCTGCCTAGATAGATGAAAGAGGCTGCTTCCTTTAGGTTTCTTTGGTTAATGGTGGTTGGAGCTTGTTGTTGTTGGTTGGGTATCTTCATCACCTCTGTCTTCTCTACATTTACTTCAAGCCCATATTTTGTTACTTTTTCCGTCAACTTGTTAGTTTTTGCCTGTAGATCTTCGAGTTTGTGCGACAAGTCATGGACATGAATCATCATCGTTGGCGAAATTCAAATCTCCTAGTATCTTTTCATCGGTCCAGCCAGGGTATGCCCATCCTCCCGCTTCTCACAGTTGTCTGCCGCATGATCCAGTCGCCCACAATCAAGAAGATCATCATTGATAGTAGGCAGCCTTGTTTCACTCCTGTCTTCACTTCAAAAGCATCACTGAGCTTCCCATTGTGAATTACTTGGCATGTAGCGTCGTCAAACAGTTGTTGAATAAGGTTGATAAGGATTTGTGGCACCCCGTAGTGTTGAAGCAACCGTCTGTCAAATTACTTATCGGTCGACGCTGCCGAAGGCACTTTCAAAGTCGATAAAGTTGAGTTGACTGCCATTCTATACTCTGTTCTATGATGAGACGAAGCGTTGCAATTTGCTCACCACATGATTTGTACTTCCTGAATCCAGCCAGCCTGTTTCGGTCGTAGTTTTGAATCCAGTGCATCCTTTAGTGTTTCCAGGATGATGTGGCTGAATATTTTGCTTGGAGTGGACAGAGGTGGAGCATGATTCCACGCCAGTTCTTGCAAACACTTAGGTAGCCCTTCTTCAGCAGTTTGACAAGGTAGCCTTTCTTCCGATCAACCACCAGGTACCTTCCCTTCCTTCAAAACCTTCCGCAATAGTGGTGTGAGCATGTCCGCTGTTGTCTCTGTGTCTGCTCTCAGTGCTCCTGGCGGGATTCCATTTGGTCCTGCTGCTTTCGCACATTTCAGTAGCTTTATGACGCTCAAGACTTCGACTTTGTTAGAGGATTTATGTTCACTGGTAGTTCTGTTGCTGCAGGTGGTATTTCTGGACGAAGTGCAGGTGGTGGTCGATTCAAGAGCTTTTTGAAGTGGTCGGCCCATTGTTTCCTTTGTTTTTCTTCTATCGTAATCAAATTTCCGTCATCATCTTTTATTGGTTACATCTGTGTTGGTCTCTTCCCAGATAGTAATCTGGCTATTTGATACAATGTCGTCAGGTCTCTCTTACATGCAGCCTGTGTTCTGCTTCACTTGCCAGTGTTTCGTAGAAGTGTCTTTTGTCTTTGCGTGAACTGTTCTTCACTTCTTTGTCCAGTGTAGTGTTTTATACAATGTACTCAGATCCTCTTGTTGTGCATACTTGCACTGGTTTATCTTCTGCTTCACTATCACCATCTTCCTCTCCCTCCTCTATCACCTTCCATGTATCCGTCGAAGTCCATTCCTTATCCTCTTTCTTCTTCCTTCCTAATACGGTTATGCGGGTTTCCTTCCACATCTCTTTCAAAGAGTTCCAGTGTTCTTCCACACAGGTTTCTTCAGCGGTGTTCCTCGATATTTCCCATTTTGTCTTGATGGCTGATCACGTGAAGATTTCCTTCATAGTTTCGTCCTTCAGTTTCCGAGTGTTGTACTTGAACTGTGGTCTATCACCAACTTCCTTGAAGGCTTTCAACTTGATTTGGAAGGTTCCTTGCACTAGATAGTGGTCTGAGCCTACATCTGCTCCTCTTCTTGACTTTGTGTCCAGTAGGCTGCGTCTCCGCTTTCTTCACATTTAGATAAAGTCGATCTAATTTTTAGTGTGTCCTGGTGTCTGGTGAAATCCGTGTCGCTTTGTGGATATCCTTGTGCTTGTACACACTGCCTATAATCACCAAGTAGTTGAATGCGCAGAAATCTGCAAAACAATTCTCCATTCTCGTTCATTTCACCTAGCGCTTCTCAACCCATGGTTTGTTCTCTTCCTATGTTGTCCCCTCCTAGTTTGGAATTCATGTTGCCTATTGGAATTTTGATGTCGCCAAGTTGTGTTTTGTTCAGTGCTGATTCCAGTTGTCTGTAGAATTCCTCCTTCCTCTCTTCATCTGCATTGTTTATAGGTGCGTAGCGTAGCATTGTATGGTTGTGATTTTCCTTCCTTCCTTTTGAGTTGGATCTTGCTGTCATGATCCTGGTCGTTGAAGAGGAGATTGGTTCCCACTGCATCAGAGCCTTCGATGCTGTTGCGGACATCATGATAGGGACTCCATAACTCAGTGTGCTCGTGGTTGTTGTCTGGATGACAATATAGGGGTAGATTATTGACTCCCCAGTTGATAGTTTGGAAAGTTCACTCCCATCCCATCTGCTTTCGCAAATTCCAAGCACTTCAGTGTGATACCTTCTCATCTCCTTTGCAATCTGGGCTGCCTTGCTGGGTTCAAACATGGTGCGGACATTCCATGTCCCCATGTTTACTTTCGCTTTCATCGAGGGAGAGAAGACGCATCGGCCAATTGGCTTCCCGAAGACTTTCACCAACTGGCATCATTTCGCCTCTCCGATTCCAGCAAGGAATAATTTCGTTTTTATTTTTTACCTTTTTGTTTATGCTTTGAAGTTTCTTTAGTGGTTAGATTTGTTTTCCAGGGTAGGGTTGCTAGCCGTATGCCCAACCTTCCCTCTTTACCTGGGCTTAGGACCGGCTAGTAACTAGTGAAGTAGTTAACCAGGCGAGGTGGAAAACCACGTTATAGTGATAGTGAGTTAATTAATAATAGCCAGGAATCTTTGGATTTGAAGTGCATGAATTTCGATATTTGCTTTTTGATATTTTTAATGTATACGGCAACGATATGTCTTTGTCTACAAAATTCAGTTCACCTTGATCTGTGAAGTAAGGAGTTTTGAGTCAGTCTCTCTGGTCCTAAACAGAATTTTTTTAATATCAAGATTTATAAAAATGTATTCAAGATTTCAGATCTCAGACAGCCTAATTTTACAATGCGATAGCATATATCTTGGTTGACACAGGAAACCAGATCAACATATTAAAATCCTTCATGACAGTGAAGACATATAAGACATCATGCCAACTTATCATTGCTGAAACCTTTTTTTTTCTAGGGGTTCGGCTGGAACTAGATATTCTATAGAAGACTGTTATTTGTTTTTTACTGCCCTGGTCATTAAGGAATTTCCATAACTTTAGTATTTTTATTTCCCCCTGATTGTTATTTGGATTCACTTTATCTATTATTAGATTAGAATGGCAATTTTCATCATGATAATTTATGTTACTTGCTTACATGAATTCATAACAACTTCGAATTAAATCTAGTCTTGTTTCATTCATTCGGGAACGTTCTTCGACTTTGTATACTGCGTCTCTATTTCGACTGCGTTTTATTCATCTAACTTTTATTGCAAAGCAAAAATCCAAACGGTTTTTCTTCTGTTAGTGAAATTAAATGACTTCTTATGACCCTTTATATGAAGTCTGTAAAAATTTGTTACAGTAATTCTTACTAATTTATTCATGTGGTGTACAGCTGACAAATCCTTTGGAATAAAATCCTTCATCTTAATCTACAGATTCTGTTTTTGTGTTGTTTAGCCTTTCATGGTGATAAGCTTATGGCACTGTTTATTTAAGATTGCATTTCTTATTTTCATTTCAGTGAAATGAAGATTTGTTGTGTACCTAGGATTCAGTTGAACGGAATTCGGAAACGTACTACTATAATAAGTATTTTTACTTTCCAATATTTAAAAAGGTTACTTCAGTTGTACAAATGACTCTTATTTGAAATTCTTTGTTAGGGTTTTGGGCAAGGAAATGATACCATAAACCATTCAGGTAGTTGAAATGATTTTTAATTCCAGTTGACATGAGTAGTATGGATGAGTCTGGATTGTGTTGTGGTCTGTGAGATGGGTAGTTTTGTAGCGAAGTTTTCATTGTTTTTCAAAACAGCTTCATCAGCACTAACTTTAATATGAAATGAGCTATAAGGACTTCTGTGTGAGTGATTAAATAGCCTATCCTGATGAAGAAGCTTGTTATTGTTAGATTCTTTTGATTGTTATTATTGATTCCAAAAATAATTCTGCTGTTCACTTTTCTGGTTGGCCTTGTTTATCACTTCTCTTGTTGGTTGACAGATAAGGTCTATTTATGCATCTATTAACTGCTGATTGACTTGAATGCTAAGCCTCTGTAAGTCCTCTGATATTTTTTTTGTTTCCTCTATACAATTTCTCAGCATTTCTACTATTCAGTTCATGTACGTAGTTGTCACAAGCATTGATATAAGCGCTAAAATGTCGTGGTTTCTACTAGCTAACTGATATCTGTTTAAACAAAGGCCAGGAGGGCAACCGCTTTGTCCAATGTAGTCCTGATTGCATTTGTTGAAGTTGATTTTGTAAAAGATACTTGGTTTATCGTCTTTTGATTTCCCGTCCTCTGGTCTGGATGAGGTGGTTTGAACCTTAGACTTTCTTTCAAACCATGTGATGCAGACCAAATGACGCAGCGGCAAAAGAAGACAAACCAGATATTTAGAAAATCACCTTTAACAAGTATGGTCATCAGTACATTGCACAAAATGATTGCATCAGTTGGTTAATATCGTCATGACATTCCACCTGAGCAAGCTACCGAATAACTCATGGAAAACCGGTGTTCTCTCATTTCCTGTTGAAATAAGTGTTAGTGTTTTTGTCCAGAAAGACAATGAAATATTCACGGTTGAGTCATCCAGCTGAAAGAAAGCAGCAAAGCCGAGATTATCCACCTGAGCTACAGATATTCTCCATTATTACGGTACCGACAAGTGCTTTGCTTGAAATTCTTGCAACAGCCTGTCGACTTCACTGGTCATGTCATTTCATCAGAATAAACATATAATTAAATTTAAAACTTTGCTTCAAATGTGAATAACCTCCGATGTCTTCTATCTTCTGTCCTTTTAGGAAAACGACAATTTTCGAGTAACAGTCTCAGACAACGAACGATCAGAATTGTATAAAATGTTGGATAATGCTGAATTACGAATTAAAGCATTGGAAGAAGAGGTTTGGGTTTTGATAACTAATTTATGTTTTCGTCTTACTTAACATTACTTAATTTTGAGAGAGAAATCAAGTTGATTAACTGACATTGAAATAAATCAATAGGCGAGCTATGAGTAACTCTTTTAATGAAGTCTGTACCTCCGTGAAACTGGTCAGCTGCCCATCTCTTTCTTCAAGTTACCTGTTCCAAGGGAGTCCGGTTCCTGAATCTGCCTTACTGAATATTGGAGCTCTGCCAACTGAACTACTTTTGTTCATAGAACGTTTAAATGGGCAAATCGATGTGTTATACTGTCAATGAATAATGATTGGCTTCTGTAAAACGTACAGTTTTTTAAAATGTGCTTTTTGAAGATATTGGTCCTAAACGAGAACTGGTGACAGTGGAGAAGTCTTTGTTTCTGCACTTGCAGTCCAAGGGTGCTCTTCAAGTGACATTCTATCACAACGCACGGCTAGAGCACCAAGTAGTACGTTTTGTGTAGGTCGGGTTTGAATATCACTCAGTAGTCAGACAATAGTCTTTCTGAGGCTAAAGAGTTGTCTGCTTAATCTTAGCTCTTCACCTTGTATGCATCAAGTCAACTGTTCTAGTGGAACTTGTAAGGCAGGTCGCAAGATTAGGCAGATGCGTCTCCGGATACGAGAGCAATTACCAGCTTGGCTCAGAAAGAACGAGGTAAAAGTGGCAGAAATTTCACTCCTAGCGCATCTAGTAAAAATAGGGGATCACACAGATGCTTATAAAGCTTTCAGTATCATTTATCGTATTTCGAAAAAGATACAAATTGTAGCTCGCCAACGCCTGCTGAACACAGCAGAGGCTATCACAATTAGACTGGTGAAACCTGAACTCTGCATTCAGGAAGAACATGTCCAAGCGTTACTTCTCTCTTGACTTTCGGTAAACTAAAGGCCACTCCTACCTTTTTATTCGTTATCTTTTTGTTCACTACCATATCATTCATCTGTATACGTATCATCCCAATGTTGATAAATTTAAAAAGAAAATTAGATTTCTTTACAATCCCTATTTCTTACTCCATTTTGAAAATGCACCTGCTGCTAACATGGCTTGATTTCACGCTGTACAAATGCATTTTACAGTTGTGTAACCTGAAGCGAATTATCGAAAAGAATATTCTTCGTTCAGACAATTCCTTTTAGTTGGTAAACAGATAATTAAAATAAGAAAATGGCTGTTATTCATTATAAAGTGTGGTTAGATTTGACACAAAAAAGGAGCTGATCATGTTGAACGGTGACGAAGTAACAACTAAAAGACTATTTTATGTTTTATTACCAGTGGCTGGGACAGGTAATGGTCTCGCGTGATGCTTAGTTAATGAACACAACAAGGGGTAATTTCTGATCATCGAATCTTTTGATATTTTTAGTTATCACAGATAAGTATCTGCGATTTTACACTTCGCTTTTGATGATCTAAGATCAGTTTCGCCAATTAGCGGCTTCAGATTTGGGGGACTCATATACTCGTTCTAGTTTATCTACTAGTGGCAAAAGGTGTTTTGCCCACCTATCAATAAAAAACTGAATTCGTTTAGTTTCGTTAGACAGTAAAACCCTTGAACTCATCCACGTTGTATGAACATATGTAGAAGGATCTACGAAGTGCTTTATATGTACGACGATGTAGTGGTAATATCATAGAATTCTCAAATATCTGTATGCTCCTCTGTTCTGAGCATGAGTCAGTCACCAGTGAGTAAGTGATTTAGCTGTCATTTATTTAATGCTCAACATTGACAGAAGTCAAAAGATCAAATTTTCCTGGTCATGTATCAATAGTAGTTTCCATGAATAAGTGTCTTAAAAATCCAGAAATAACTGAATTAATTTTTGACTTTCCAACTTTCATAGTGTCTTTTCGCAAGAAATCCGTCCCAATTTCCAAGGGCTGAATGCGAAGACGAGATTATTAGGTTATCTTTTTGTTCTTCACGTTTCCGTTATGATCATATTTCCTCTTTGCCACCACAGTTTTGTTCATTTCCACCATCCAGCGGTGGCTTCTAGTAATCAAACTCAGTTCATACAATGTTACACAAAAAAATCTGATGCAAAGATGATGACATAGAGCATTAAATTAAGCAAAATGATGGCATTTCTCTTATCACTAAGGCAACCTCTACTACTAGTGAAATATCAAGACACTATTCAATGCTACCTATGTTTGAATATCCGCCATTTGCTTTTCAGGTGAACAATCCTTCGATTCCCCTCCTTTGCTTGTCTTCCAAAATTCTTCCTTTCACTTGCCTGTCATTTTACTAATTTTGCCGGTGATATCGTACTGCATACTACTTATATGTATCTTTCTAATTAACAACCACTACATACTGCTGTAAAGCAGTCATCTCCTTCATATTTAGATACATTGCTGCAACATTAGATGAGGTCCCAGTTATGCAGTGCACCATACACAACATATTTTATTCTAGTGAAAAGTTCAATCGTTTAGAGAAAGGGCAATCAGGAACAGACTACCTGTTTCCAAGTGGCGGATACTTCAGTATCAGGCCAGCCGTAATAACTTAGAATCTATATGATAGCATGGTCCTATCATAGTGATGCTATCTGCTGATCCATAGCGACCTTAGCAAATCTGCAGAAAATTTCTGTTTTAATTAAAAAACGATTGAACTAAAAACTGACACCATCAAACATTATAAGCGCGTAGGAGAAATGAGATGGATTTATGTACGTATACATAAACTTGGAAAGTTCATAGGTTGTAAGCAACTTACCTGTATTATTGCTGTACCTGTTTACATTGTTTAATCCCAACTAGGTGATAAAACTGTTGTCCAATTAAACTATGAATCACAGTTCAAAAATATAACGTGAGGCAAAGTTATACAGTGCCCCTTCGATGAACATTATAAAAACTAGTCAGCTCAAAAACCTCTAATGTTATGTCACTCAGTGGTATTATTGTTTCTAGAATATTTGTGAGGTTTCCTTTATTTGTATGAATACCAGAATTACTTAAGTCAGCCACCTTTGTTGTTCTTGATTTATCCTACGTCTATTTCAGCTTGAACGTCATGATCTTAGAGCACCACGAAGTACTAATGAATAGGTGCCTCACGCAGACCTCATTTAACTAGAGAGCCTCTATGGAAATACTCAGGCCCAGTAAGTTGTAAAGACATCATATATTTTCTCATTATAATATTGTTTTTGTAATTGATGATGTTAAAATGTTTCTCACTTGTTTTTTGAAATTTGTTTAACTAACTTTTCCTAGGACAAAGAAAAAGCAGCGATTTCTTTCACCGAATATTAATTAGGCAGATGAATTTCTTTGTCAACGAAAATTTATTTATCTGATAGAACGTAACAATACTAGCTTGATTTACTCAGTTCAAAGATTTTTCGCTTGGATAGCGTGATTGCCTCGTGAAATCTACGAAAGTTCTAGTGATGTATACTAGTTATACCATGGAAGGCACTCTGTGGAATCCAGTTTGAACTTACACTGTCTATTAGTATGAGATATACCTTAACTCATCCTAAGATATACCAGTGAAGGCTAGTCAACTAAAAGAATCGAAGGGACTTCTATACCTTTCTTTACGTTCTACATCTTCTTAACTGTGAATCGCTCAGTGGGTATCACTAATAATTGTCCAAACTGTTGTGTTGTAAACTCTGGAGAACCTGACAAGCAACTGAGTTTTAATGTAAAACAAATGGAAAAAAACATTAATTCCTTTTGGCTGTACCGTATACAGTCAATGTCAAAGGGCATAAATGATGAACCACATCTATCCTCATAGGTTGCTTTTTACGGTCATGCATAATGGTGGATTGCTGTAAAGTATTTCCTATCTTTGGTCGGCAGATAAAATTTTCGCTGGTACTGAAACGAGCAAGAAGACAGGTATGAAGGAAGGAAATAGTCCTTAAAAATGACACACCTTGCACTAAAACCGTCATTTACAAACTGTGCTTCAGTTCCTCTTCTGCTTCTTTCTTGATTTGTTCTTTACACGCCTGTGTTGTCCCTTGCGTTTCTCTTGATGGAATCCTTACCGATTGCTTGTAATTCCCTATGATTTCTGCCACCTTCTTAACATATACTACTTATATCTACTCTTATCATCAACGCCCAATATAGTAATATCTGTGTACCAGCTATATTTTTCACTGTAGCTTCTGGAATTCATTTTCAGAATTCCTCATCAACTAGGGCCAATCAACTGACTAGGTAAGTGACACGGTTAACATTTTAAATTGCTGCTTATATCAGCCATGAATGAAATATTAGTATGGAATTAGTTGGTGCATACAGTACTTCGAGAACATAAGTCTTTTTCTGAGAACTTTGGTGGTTATATCTTCTCCTTATCGGTATTTAAACAAAACTATATTTGAAGCAGATTTGAGGCTGAAAATAGTACTTTGAAAATAAATCTATTTGCTTGAATTCAGAGATATAAACAGTTGCTCATAGAAAGATTTATGAAACAGCCGAAGAAAATGGCATAAGTAGAAATTTTTTGGATAACAGAGTTTATCACCTTCGTATACTGTTGCAAAGTTAAACAGTATATAGTGAACTAATCCGAATCAACCAGGAATTGTGTTTTATAAGTGGTTTTGTGTTCTAGATTTTGAGAAAGGAAGGATATCTGATAGATACATTTGGTGGTCATCATTTGAAGTTGACAAGTTTCTAACCGCTGCTAATGAGTTATTCAATATCAGTGACATGAACAGAGAAATCCTGTTTACTTAATGTTTCATGCTCTCATTAGCGGATATGAGATAAGATAGCCGAATTTTACGCTCATTTTACAGAATAAGCAAATGTTCTCCATTGGTAATTTCCATATTTTATGTAGTTGTGATTCATCTGTAGATTTGGCGGTGAGTTTTGCTTATAGAATCAGTATTTATGGTTGGAAAGGAAAAGAGATAATTAATACATCTGACAAATAATCTGAGTTTCAAGGTAAGAGACCCATTCAACATCAATTGTCCTGTCTACATGAACATTTACTATCATAGTATTCATGTTATTTTAGGGTTGACGAATGAATGTTTCTGACATTTCTTATCATAAGTTTGTGCTTTTAGAGGAAAGTAAGGCCCTTTTTTGGTTAATTGTCTTTGTGTATAGATATCTTGTACCATGAACAATTGGAAGAAATCAGTATTAGTCAAATCCGATTTTCCAAACTCCGTATGAGGAAAATTGTGGTCATAGTTGCTAGAAGAAGACCCCAAATGAAACCAAAGTGAATACAGTTCATCAAGGTTTTACTTCACTTCTTTGGTAAATAAATCAAAGAAGACTTGTTAATTACTGAGAGATACCTGTGAACAAATTTAGTCCGAAATATAGTTGAATGTAACTCCAACGGACAATGTTCAAGTTCTTGTAGTCAACCACTTCCTCTAGGTGTGTATGCTACGGGGCACGAAGTGGTGTATTGAAAATCACAACCTTTGGCAAAAATTTAATCAAAGTACTGATTCATTTAAATTAGTGGCTTTTAAATTTCACCGTTGTTATACTGCATACTATAAAGTCCTACGAGTTTCTCACAGATTTAAAGGAATCAACAAATCCTTGTATTCCATTGATAGACTGGTTATTTAAGTTGTTATACAAGAGTCTTTTCAGAATGGCTTTGAAGCGAATCAATATCCTGAAAGCCACTGAACGTTACTAAAGACATCGCAAGTTTGGTGTAATATAAAGACTGACAAGACCAGATCGATTCAATCAGATCTAAAATTACTGGATTTCAACGAAATGGAATGCAGTATCGTTTTACTGTTGGGGGTATACCGGAAGACCTAGAAACAGTGTTTGTGAACTTCATGCACAAAGTAGGGGAAAACAAGTGAAAAAAAATGTGGAAAGCTTGTTTGAGTAAACACTTCTTTAGTTATGTTACACTACGACAGAATAAAAGCTTGTACAGATGTCCTTTTGAAAGGAAAGGCGAATTTACTCTAATTCTAAGGTTGAAAAAGAGTTACAGAATCTTGTGTACACATTCAAACAGGATGAATGTTCAGGAAATATTGTTAAGAAGAAAATGATAGGATGAACGGATCAGCTGGTCATCTCCACTCATGGCAAGAATCTGAAATGAATAGGTAATAATCAGGCTGATAGTGACTTTCAGAAACAAATGTATCTTACTATCCATCACATGTGAAGATTGGATTTGACGTTATCCATTTTTATGTGCATTGATGGATTCAACTACTCCTATGGAGTCAGTTATCTGAGGATTTACAATTACTAAAATAAATATTTAGTCAGCAGCTGGACCTCGTAGTTCAACTAGTAGAGCATCGGTTCTGAAACGCAGTGGTTGCTGGTTCGAATACTACTGCGGTCCAGATTTTCATTTCACTTTCAATCATCACCCTATATATATATATATATACAGAATACATTATATATATATATATATATATATATATATATATATATATACGATTTTAGACATTTCACATAGTAATAGTCGAACATGAACGAAAGATATCCTTCTCACTAACTTCTCCTCAGGTTCTACAGTTAAGAAATCAAATTCGATAACATAGTAATTGCCACATTTGCTGAGAATGCGTTTTAGAATGTAACTGAAATTACAGTTACAGTTAGATTGCCTAAGCTTGTAGATGACAGTGTAACTTCTACATGTTGTCCACTGTGGTTACAAGTTGAGTGTAATCTGCGTCAGTTGGTTGTTGATCAGACATAGTAAAGGGGAAGGAAAATTAGAAGTAAAGTTCAAGGTTGCGAAGTTCGGATTAGTAAAATGAATGACGAGAGAAATTGGGTGGATATATTGTCACAAAATGGTTAAAATGTGAAACTTGAAGGTCTTGATTTATATCTCTGGCTAAGCTGGTTCATGGGTGCATACTGCTGAGGATTCTTTTACTAGGAGAGAGCAGCTGTCCAGTGACCTAAGGTTTTCAGTGGTTCCTCATATATTGTCAGTTCATGATGAATACGGTTAGGGTAATAAGAGTAATAATTATGTGGGAAATTTTGACAGGAATTTTAATGGTTTATTCAAATAACAGGGGAAAAGCAAAAAAGTAATACTGTTTTAAGAATTTTGTATTCGAAAAGAAAGAAGAATAAGGGGGGGGGAAGAAAATGAAGATTGGTAACGCAACAAAAATGTTGATGGAATACTGTTTAGTCAATGAAAATGAAAGGGATGAGTGAGGTTGAAATAAAAAGTTTAGGCTGAGTTGATCTTATAGCTACGACTTCCTTTATGTAGGCTATGATTAGATGAATGGTAGATGGTGCAGTCTTCTGAATATGGTGTATCATAGAGACTTTTTGGTAGTATCTATTTGATGTCTTATTTCTACAAGATTTACCAGTATAGAACTTCTAATAGGTTTGATGTCAATGTTTGCAAACCAAGCGGGTGGATGATATGTAGGGACACTACTATGCAGGCCCGTTTCAGGATACAAGAACCCATGTATTCATCCATTCGCGTATATATATTAAGAAGATGAATAATCCATAAAAGCTGGTCACATTTGTTTTAATTTCCATATATGTTGATAAGGGCTGAAATCATCTTGTAATATACACTTTAACAAACAATAACATTAGATACAGTAAATTTTGTATCACGATGCAGAGACTGGAGACCTTTACTTGCCGAGATGTCATTCATCAAACTGGTTTACTTGGAATTCCACCATTTCTTTCTTATAAGTATGAATCTTACCTAATTGCAGAAACTCTATGATTATAATTATCAATAAGGTGTAGTCTATTCATGTTAGGCGTCAGTTAAACAACTTGAAAAGGCACCGTAGATAAAATTGAGGTAGACATTAAACTGAGAAACTTATATCACATCCCCTCATCATTTTAATAATTATCCCACCAGGATAAAAAAGAATGGTACAACGAATCCTTCCTATTTTTCTTCCATTAAAATAGTCTAAGATACCTCTTGGATCAAGTGATATCTATGCACGTAACTCGAATTTCCCACGAAAATCCCTTTTGAAGCAGATCCCAGAGTATGAGTCATACTAGGCAGTTCTGCTGTAACATTTAGTCTACAGGTTCATTTTGAAGCTGGTAGGTTTTTATTTTAGATTTACTTTAGTTTAGCTATTTAGTATTGAAATTTCAATTCTAAGCTTGTTGCAATTGAAAATTTACTAGTTTTAACATTTACTAATTACAAACATTGACATTGGTGTTTATTTAAGCACTATACTTCATTTATAGTGAAAACGTTAGATTAAAATTCAAGGTGATTAAAAGTATAAACTACTACTACTACTACTACTACTACTACTACTACTACTACTACTACTACTACTACTACTACTACTACTACTACCACATATTTTACTGGTGTTCGCGTACAATCAGGGTTTTATTTTAATTCTAATCAGGATAAATTTTAATTCGGTTTTAATTGTAAGTAGGTTGTAGACGTAAAATATATTTAGCTACCTTTAAGTAGATCGTTTATAACCTAGAATTCCACATAGGAACCATACCGACTGGTGTACTTGTGGCTATATACATAAGATGATGAAAGTCGTCAGCACGTAGGATGTGAAATTCGTCTATTTGATGATCAGTTACAAAGAGACTGGGTTTTAACTTGAATATTCAATGTTAAAGTCTTCAGGAGATGTGGGTTTCCTCAGTATTGTAAAAACATATGGTTAATTCCAATATCAAGCCAAACGAAATGTTAGCTGGACCTCTCACGTTACACAAGAATTGTCAACCTTCCGGCTTCTATCCCACATACAAAATGCAAAGATTTGAAAAAGGCTGTGGCATACGGTATAAAACGTAGGATTTTACCATTCATCTTGATGACTCGCAGAGGAATCTAGGACGGGCGTTTCATACTATTCGTAACTAATCAGCTGGATGTGCCTTCAAGGCAGTAAGCGTTCTTATTCTCACTGAGACTACAACTCATTATACATCGTTTCAAATGCCAAAGCCTCAGTGACCTAATGGATAGTGTTTCGGCATTCGAAACGATTTATAATGGGTTCTAGTGTCAGTAGGAACAAGATCACTCATTGGGGCGCAGGTAAACCCAGCTGATGAGTCCCAAATTAGATGAAACACACCGTAGACTTCCCTGCCAATCGCCAAGACAAACACAACACAATAAACATCCAACAACATGGATGCATCTGCGTGACAGCCCATCTACCAACAGAGTGCGAGCAATTTGACCCTTTATTTATACTCTGGCTTCTGATTTGTCTTTCCATCTTGCATACAGCTAATGGAATATCAGCGAGCTGAAATAATTTCATTTTATCGCGTTTTCTAAATACAGAAATTTTAGTTAGAAGGCAGCTGAATAATCTAGGTAAACCGTTTTTTCAGTAGAGCAGTATATAAAATTATTCCATATTTAAGCGATGGAAAAACCGTAAACACATACAAGTATACGGTTTGACTGCTCAGTTGGTGGTATTGCAAATTGAGGGGAACATTACAAATCGATGTTGTGGGTTGAAAACTGCCACTGAACTGTCTAACGTGCTAGGAATCACGCAATCAAACAATGACCTTTGTGCTCTGCAAAACGGTTTCCGTAATTCATAATCGGATATGTAGATTTAGTTGGCCAACTAAGTCGGAAATAAGGAGGGATACATGTAGACACCCTTAGACGATTTTATTGTTGTGGTGGAAAATTGACTGACGCTGGTATAAGTGGACCATCAGACTTGAACAATAGGATGTTCAACACCTGATCTAGACAACGTGCACTCTGTTGTGTGAACGTTTGCAAGAGGGCACTGAAAAACACTTCGTAACTGAAACAAAAAGGGGACCCAGTACTCGCCGCTTTTCAGTATTTCCCTAGCTTATTAACGATAAGGATAATTCTCAAAGTGTTTTACATACATTAGAAATGAATTTTAGCTCATTATTTGAGTAGTAATTTTGCGGTAGGAAATAAATAGAGATATATCATCAAATACTAAGGTATACTATTTATCTAATCTACAGAGGTTTGTTACGAAAAAAACAATCACAAATGGAATAGTATTCAAACTTCAATCGATTTGTTTCAAAAAGGTATAAACCAGTTTGATTGCAAAATTGTTCGAAGGCCTCAAGATAATTTCCTATGGTAATTAAGTATTCCAAAAGCGCGGAAGAAAGAGAAACTGTTTTCATAGTGATATTTGTTTCTTGATTATTTTGAGGAAAATAACCCAGCTGGGGATCGACAGAGTAATAGAGCTGACTTATTGTGCCAAAAAATTTACCTTTTACTCTTCTCAGTTCGGTTACAGAACAGTTAGTGAAGGGTTATGTTTTGGTTTACAGCAGTGCATTCTCTGCGTATCTATTTGAACGTTTCCAGAATCAAAACCTGTTTGTATATTCAAGAATTCACCAGCTTGGTTATTGCATACATAAATTATATCCTTATTTTTCACATTATTTGTCCCTTAGATTCCTAGTGGAACCTAGGGCTTCAGTAGCACGTCGCCACTACACTCTGCTCTCTGCAATCTTTGGAACCTGACTCCATGACTGCCCATAAGCTATCATTTCTTCCTTACATGATCTCTTCCATGTCACCCTCACCTCGGACACACAACTCATCGTTTCCCATCTGAGTCCCACTCGAAGGCCTGTCACGTGATGTCCCCAAATGGTCTTCTCAGTGTATGCCCAATCCAACCCCACTCTCTTCTTCTGCATATTTGTTGGGTGACAGGTTCTTGGTTGGTTTGCCACCAGCCAGAGTTCCTTGTTGCTTATTCTCATTGTTCTGGCCATCTCAGCTTCAGTAACAAGTCAGATTAGGCAGTTGTTGATGAGTGTCTGCATTTTGTTGGAAATGCCTTTCGTAATGCGCCAAGTCTCTGAACCATACAGAAGCAATGACTTGACTGAATCAGTGTTGAAAATTCGAATCGTGTTCACGCTTTATGCTGAGTGCAGTGCAGCAGATCTCCACACTGATTTCAAATTGATAAAAGCCTGTCTTGCTGTATTTCGATCCTGGCTTTGATGTACTCGTCTATGTCTGTGCTGCCTGTAGTCGAAACGATGCTGCCTAGATAGGTGAAATAGGCTACTTTTTCTAAGTTTCTCCCATTGATGGTGACTGGTGCCTCTTGTTGTTGATGCTGTTGTTGGTTAGGTATCTTCATCACCTCTGTCTTCTGTAACTTCACTTGAAGTGCCGTTTTCGCTGCCTTGCCTCTTCTGTCAACTTGTTTTTTTCGCCTGCACATCTTCATGTTTGTGCTACAAGACAGTGGACACAAGCCACAGGCTAAATCCAAATCTTCTAGGATCTTATCCCCGGTCCAGCGCATCCCCTCTTCCCGCTACTCACTGTTTGCTGCATGATCCAGTTTACCACAATCAGGAATATCATGGGTGATAGTAGATAGCCTTGTCTTACTCCTGTTCCCTGTCTTCACTTCAAAGGCATCATTGAGCTTCCCACTGTGAATTACTTGTCATAAGGAGTCGTCAAATAGTTGTTGAATGAGGTTGACAAAGGTTTGTGGCACTAAAACCTTATTTTTGAAGCAGTTGCCATACCACTCGTCGGTCGACGCTGTCGAAGGCCTTTTCAGAGTCGATGAATAGTCGATGCATAAAACGAAATTACGAAAAGTTCTGTTGTCAACCATCCGTTGGTACCAGTTCATCTTAAATTATGGTTAGTGATTGAAGCTGGAAAGTGATTTGAGGTTGACTAAGCCTTTTCGCAAAAAGCCCATCTTTCATGAAGCAGAAAATGATGGTTTAATATTATGAACGTAAGATTTAGACACTGTGATCGAGTATATTTCCGTCAAAGTCCTTCTGTCTCATCAAATGTTGGAGACTTTTCAGTAACAATTTTTTTCTGATAATCATATCAAGGTGATATTACACCTTCAATTCAACTTCAGAAAGAGATTTTAAATGCGGTTCATGGACTTAGAGGTTAACTTTGCATTCATTCCTTTTTCATCTGTTGTAAATTTGTATCTTCATTAGTAGCGGAAAAATCATATCTCTTGTGAAGGCTGGTTTTTAATAATTATGAAATACCTAGATTAGGAAATGCAGAAACGTATTGCTTTCTTATCTTTAATGCAAATCATTTCTATGAATGTTTTGAATTGCGGATTGACGTTTGGAAGTACGCATGTGGTAATATTTTTTCGAGAAGGTGTGTTAGTTGTGTCAGTATAAAGGGGTGGTTTGAGACAGTCAACGTCCTACGAATTGTGAAAGAGTGTAAACAAAGTGGTACAATTATTGTTTAGATTTCTTTTCGCAATACCCAAATGTAGACGTACTATATTAATTAACTCATTTCTTGTTTTGCTACTTATTTGTATTTAAAAGTAGTTTGTTTTTGGATCGAACATTTTAGTTACAATTAGTGTTGGATTTGATTAGATTTTCGTTTAGATTTTTAGCTAAAAGCCCTAATGGTACTAATGTTACATTGATTGTTTTTATATATAGGATTCATCTGAAAGGTTTTTAGGAGTTTCTAGGTTAGGAATATGTTTGGAATTGTGGAATCCTCTTTCAACTTTATAATCATTATCATAATTATGAAAGTTGAGACCCGAAGTAGTGTAAACAGAGCAGAAAAGTGTTATGGAAAGTCTATGTTATCATTCGAAATGAAGGAGGTTCTTTATCCAGATAGGTTTTTCAGAAATGCTTGTGGATACTTTTTATCTTCCGCTGTTGTATTTCATTTAATTGCCCGACTTCTGTTGGCATTTGGGGTCCTGTGTGGACACCCCTTATTGCCTAGATATTCATAACCTTATAACATATGACTTCATAGTACATCCAGCTGACATGTCTCGAATAAGATGAAGCATGTGTCCTAGATTTTACCACCAGTTTCCACGTAAACTAGATTTTAGAAATGAATATAGTGTTTAATATACATGGGTTACATGCCGTTGCATATGTTAACCCTATTCCATAAAATAAATCTACACGAGGAATAATCCTCTATGTAAATTTATGAGATGATTGTGTTTCTATCAGTACTAGTCATGTGATTTAAATAACCCTGCACAATATACATAATATTCTAGCTGGATTGTTTGCTTTCTGACAATGATCCATTAGGTGGGAGTGTCAATTTATCTGCGACTGCTAAGTTTATGTTAAGAAAGTGTACTTCATGTTCAGCGAAACACTGAAGTAAGACTAGTCTGCAGTGTTGAAAAGTCACACGTTTAAACAAGCAATCAAATCTGTATTATTCTGAATTGCAGTCATAGGTTTCACCCTTTTTGTTATTCAGGCTATTAATAAGCTCCTGTGTAACAATATCAGGTTAAATGATTCGTTACTGCAGTACATTCCACTTTGTTCTGTGTCGTCGGTCAACCGGTGTACGTTGTGGTCATAATTCAAAATAAACTGAAATCAGTATGAATCACATAATGTTGTTTGATGATTAGTTGTCAAGATTTGGTCAGTGCAACAATTTCATCTGCATGATTTTGATTGTTCTTTCTTTGTTACAGTCTACTTAAAGTATTATTCTTCCGGGATAACATATGAATATATTGATATCTATGGAAGACAAGATCACTGAAGAACTAGCCAGTCGCTGTGTAAACATTCCTGTTCGTCTGACTCCTGAATTTGTACTGAGCTATTTGGCTGATAATTCTTAGTACTTATTATGCACATTAAAGAAGTGTCTGCAACTTGTTCATCCACTTTTTGGCATTATGACTTCCTCCACTTTTTGCCTAGGTTCACATTTGGCGTCAGAAACAAAGTTGGCAGCAGTGCACTGCCTATGAATTGATTGTTAAGTGACTAAACTAGCAGTTGTGCTCTTCATGTAGGTTGAAGGGACTGCACAAAAACTCTTGATTCAATCTTACTGATATATGACATTGGTTATTCTGGAGTCTTGACTGACTGACTACACGTTACAGTAGATAATTAACTAGTTACCACTGGTACCACACTTCCCACATTACAAGTCTCAACCTTTGAATACTCGTTAAAAAACCATTAATTATGCAATCTTATTGTTTTATTGTTTTAGAAAAAAACAAATCAATCTCTTCCACTTCTAAATAAACAGACTGGACGGAATAATTTAGTCAGTGGAAATACAAAACGTCAATCTCAAGCATTTGGTTCAGATGTGAATTTCCCTTCAGCTTACTCACTAGACAAAAGCAAAATGTATTCAAATAAGATCATGAATTCCAGTCATAACAATAATATACCCAACTATGATATAAACAGAGATGATGAAGATTTTTAAAAAGAGAATTCTTATCCTTTTTGAAATATTTTAATTACTACCTCTATGAAGAAAAAATGGATCTTTTTCGCAGTTGTTTGTTTGTCTTAGAAGCTTAAGATGTTCAATCAACCTTTCTTTTCTAGCTTTACAGATATATTAGTTAAACACGAAGTTAGACGTTTATGAATATCTGGAGTTTACCCGGGGACTCTTGGGTTACCGTTACGGTGGATTGAAGTTGTCTTAGGTCTTGACCACTAGTTGATTACCATTTTAGCTGCAGACACTCTGTACAATCCCTAGTCAAAGTACATTTCTATACTTTGTGGTGCACAATTTATCCAGTTAGATAGTTTTCCGGTCAGAAGTGGTTAGCGAAAATAACAGCAGGAAAGTGGACTAAATGTGTAAATTATGAGTGTGTTAGTGTTGTTTAGGATGAGGGATATTAGTGATTTTACCTCTTTGATTTGATGTTAAACTAAGTTGTCGGTCATATATTTAGGTCAGTCTTTCACAAGAAACTGTGTATTGAAGAAATCAGTTATACACTGTTAGTGCGATCCGTAATTAAGGTTCAGTCGGAATCTGATTTTCTAGCATTCCAACAATATTTATTCATGCTTTATTACCGGAAGAATATTTGGTTCATGTGTGGACAGCAGTAGACTTAATGGGTCTAGATTATGTCAGAGAAGCTTAATAATTACAGTCCATTTTTATGTAGAGTAAAATGACCATGAAATGAATCCATAAATTTAACCCCAAAATGTGATGGTTTTCAAATAGGTTTTGACACCAAAAACAGTCAAATATAATGTTATCATAAAGGAATTGAGTGGGTAGGAAAATTAATTTCTCTTATATTTTTGTCGGATCATTTAATCATATAGGAGACGTTGAAATAGAGGATACCACAGAAGACGATTCTTCGGTTTGAATCTGCTTAGATCATAATTCAGAAGAGTAATCTATGATCTGGCTCGTTAGGATAAGCATAATTATACTAGCATCACTTCAACTGTTTTCAAACTCCGTAGAAATTAAGAAATACAACAGAATTATCTATCGATGAATAACAGCTGATTTTAGCAATTTAAGCTGGACAAATGAACAAATCGAAATGTCACATGGTATGCAGTATGTGTAAACTCAATAATCAGAGTAAATTCTTTTAAAAAAGTTGTAATAAGCAGTTAAAACAAAAGGTAAACAGGTTGTTTTTAGATTCTTGAATGTTAAATATTAGATACTTACAAATGATTCTCAGTGGAGTTCAGGATATATACTTCATCCTATTTAGTTGTCAGTTGGATATACCTGATCACAGGGAGTGATGATGTTCCCGTTGAGGTTCAAACTCAATACTATTGGCTTCAAATGTTACAGTCTTATCCAGTAAGCTAAATAATAACTGAATGAAGGTGAGGTAGTATTGAAGTATCAAATCAACAAGCTTCTATGGTAATCAGCAGGCAACTAAAACAATCAATAAATATTCCATACTAGGTTTTCACCTCTAGGTTCGCGATGTTTGATCCTAACAAAAATGATCTGTTGTATCGCCAAACTTGGCAGCGCTAACTAATAAGAGGTCAAATGTAACTGAAGACAGAAATAATTCGTGATTGATGTCGTTTTTTCACTTTAGTTCTTTTTTGTTTTCACCTTATACAATCGAATTAAAAATGTCGACGGTTATCATGGTAAACTACCTTGAAAAATAGGGCGAACTCGTCGTCGAAAAATCACATTTTCGGTATCATTAGAACAGAGATATGAGAGTTTTGATGCACATCGTTGAAGAGGTTTATATATTTCCGAATGCAAATAAGTGTAGTAATCAAGTATGTTTAGTGTTGTGTACACAGGATTTTGTGCTGTACGTCATAAGAGGTTTCATAGGATCACAGGCTTTATAGTTTATACCAGTGGGATTTAAAGTGTTCATTTCTTCCTGTTTGGAATGGACTGGCATCTTCCCCCGAAACTTGTACTAAGCACCCACCAATTCAAATTCCAGAAACAGTCAGTCACCTTCAGAGTTGAAACATCTCAGTCTTGCTTGGGATTTGTTGACGGTTATTAGAATTTTAAATCTTTTCAGTTGTCAAATATTTAGTTCCTTTAAATCAACAACAGAAAAGAACCAAAGTTCTAAAATAGATGATCCATTCGTAATTCTAACTATCCACTGGTGAATATGATACGGAACTATATTAAGGGGTTTACCTTAAGAATCTTACTCTATGTGAAAATTAGCTTTTAATATTCGTGCTAACAGAAAAGTTGCTAAGTTGGCGGATAGTTGTAGTTAGCAGTTGATTCTTTCAGCTTTGTATTGATAAAACAATTTCCTAGCAGCTCATCATTTTTGAGGAGTTCCTATGGACCAATGATTACCCATGGGAGTTCATAACTCATTATGGAAAAGTAAAAGAGAGGAAAAAACAGTCTTGTCGTTGCAAAAGCTTATATTTTCGAGCCATGTATTTAAAAATTATAAAACAAATGAAAAATTAACTATAGAATATCTACCACGGAGAAGAGGATGTATCCAGCTAAGAAGCTTGTTCCTTTGTATCAAACCATCTACTTCCTGAGTGACTAAAACTTGGAAGGCTTGCTTTTTATGTTACTTCTCAGTGCATTTGCCACTTCATATGTACTCTCAAAGGACAACGGTATGCAGTCGGTTGTATTTAAGGATATGTTCTGAAAATTTCGAAGCTCATGCATGTATATTTCTTCAACAGTGGTTCGTTTTACACATCCTTGTTAGTGGATAAGGTATCCACGTTTTAACATCGTTCAGAATAAGTAAAATGTGACTAAGTCTTGCGAGGATGAAAACCAGTAAAAAAAGTAGAACCTAACTTATACTTTCAGGAACGGATGGACATCACACTGGCACAATCACGGTAAATCTTTCTCATATTATGTGATACAATAATAATAACTAATTGGCCCTTGTATTTCTATAATCTGTAAATTCAACTTTTAATTTTTGACTTCTCCTTACGTTTCCCTGTTACCTGATGTAAGTTAATTTCTTTTGTAAGGCCTAAACAACTCGTGAAACTAGTTTCCTACTTCCAAAAAAAGTGTTTTCTTTGTTCTTTCTTTGACTACTTTTTTGCATTATTGAAATTAACGTCCAGTCAGACTCTCCATTACTTCCTCCAACATTTACTTGATTTTTATGGATTGGATCTATCTATATCAGTTTATTTTCAATTCCCATCAGAAGTAAATTGTGTGAAATTTTCCTGATGTCTTCATTAAAACTTTCATTTTTTTAGGCAGATGATAATAATCAATGAAGGGAAAAGAGGTCGTGTTATTCTGCTCCAGTTTCCATTTTCGTAACATTTAAGTTTTCAAGGAGATGACGGACTTTTATAGCAGACATGGTTTCATAGTCAGTTTCAGTTCGAATTATTTCCCTTTTAAATGTACAGGGTTTTGGTGAATATGGATAAGGTTGTAGCATAAATGAAAAAAAATGTGTGCTGACCTCTATAGAAGTATAAAGTTTGAACATTATCACTCTCATCTGCACTATCTTGTCTTTAACAATCATAACCATCTATGAGATCTAGTGGAATATACCAAATAATGTTTGTCCACAAACTACTATTTTGTACACAAATCCGGGTTTAACAGTAGTCAAACTTGAATCAAATACAGGTCGATATTCATCATTGACTGACATCAATCAAGGGAACAATGGAAACCTGGGAGCACTGGACAACTGTTTCGTCTTAGTGTGGGACTCATCAGCTATGCGCACCCATGACCCCACGCTGCCAGGGTTAGGGGGTTACGATTACTATAAAAGGTGTTGCTTGCATTAATATAAAAAGTGTGTGTTATGTGTAGCAAAGCATTGAATTAGGGGAATTTCTATCTTCCTGACAATGTATTTGATAACTCATAAAAATCTCTACAGACCTTTCTTTGGCGTTCTAGGCACGTTATTTTTCCGGTGAAAAATATAACACTTTCGATTTTATTTCACTAAGAAATGTAAGTCTTTGTATTTGCTATAACCTAAAAAGTAATAACCTGCTGCTGTCTGAAATCCATGTTTTTCAAAATATGGACGTTTGATATTCAACGGTCTGGTCTTGGAATGTTAAGCATACATTGAATTATGAACATACTCATCTTGGTACATTCCTTCTTATTCCTAGTGATTAGCAGAAAAATTCGGAATTCACGTCCATTCCGTTCATAACTTCTCAGCTGTATGCACTTTCATAATCTAAGTATGGCCTTGCCAGTCCTTTGGATCCAAACAAATCAGTAATTGAATATAACAAGGGGTAATGTATTTACCCTTCTTTATGTGAGAAACGCTATGGAAATTATTACTCTATTCCTAGGAAGTATATAACTCCTCACTATCGAAACCATGAGCTTGTCATGTTATCGTCAAACTTATGTGATTTTTTGTTCCAGAAAACTAACAGCTAATGAACATTCGATTATTGCCGATTAATTTAATAACAAAAAGGTATCCAGCGGTTTTCACAGCTATTGGTATTGATTCATTATGATAATATTTTTAGAGATTATTCCTGGTATTAAGGTCACAGAAGTACAAAAAATAAAACATTTGTCTTTTTGCAACCATCGACATTAGCTTGTTAATGAATCTAGTTTTTTCTTGATTACATTTAGTGTTTCTGAGTGACATGTGATCATGCTTCATTGATATCTAAGCATTAAATACCACTTTTTTCTCATTATATAAGTACCAAAATAGTTTGCACTTTTCTAAAATATGATTGTTTGAGGGCGTCATAAATCTGATGGTTTTACGCATTACTGAGTACAATTTTACTAAGTCAAGTAATAATGCACCAGTTGTTATGTATGCTAAATGAGGAGGCTGAAACCCAACGTACTAAAACTCTAACCGATTAGGATAATTTGACGTATGTAAAGCTTTTTTTCACTGAGTTCCTACTGATAGCAAAGCTAATTAAGGCTATGACCTGAGTCGTCAGCTTTCAGGCACTTCATAGTCCAGGTACCCCCTTTATGATGGACTGAAAGCTTCCAGGCTTC